TGTGGGGGAGTGCACGACCGGCGAACGCCCACAGATCGTAGTAAGGCTGTAGTAACTTCAGCAGACTTAACGGGGTGGATGCACCTTTGTCGGCACTCTCAAGTAGGACACAAGTAAATATACTTTTATACTTTCATAGCGCAATTACTTATTCTATGAAATGGATTTAATTTATTATGTTGAATTTTCTTCTGTTTTAACATGTTTTAATATCCTTTAGGATTGTAGAAATTCACAAAGATTAATTCTAATCCCTGTTAATTTAATGTATCGTAGAATATTCAGTTATATTCACAAAAATAAATTAGTAGAGCCTTATATGTAGAAATATTAAAGTTCCGTTATTGTCCTACATTACAAGTATTTCTATTGTGAAGTGGCATAACGGATAGATTTACAGAAAAACTATTGAACGACTCATTAAAACTATCTTACTATACATAATAGTTTAGTTTTTCATCATACAATCGTCACACAAACTGGTTTTGGAAAGAAATCTAAACTTCAAATCAATCAATTTGTTAATTTAATAAGATTAAATCCATATAAAATTCTACTTAGAGGAGCTCTTCTCCATAACCTAAATATCAGTTGCCAAAGTCTCGTTAGTAACGCGACAGTAAATTTCATTCGTCTTTGAAATAGATAATGTACGCACGAGAGACAGCATGATAAAGGCTAATTAATATTAACGGTAACGCGCTCCCATCCTTGTTAATTACTTTAACGACTGTACGAGTTACGTTTACGCGACAGAGTTTGATTTATGATGCCAGTTACTTATTCTTTACGCTTTGCTAAGCAATTTCTGTACTCATACTTAAGTAGCATGTTTCACGTGACTCGGGAGAGTGTTGTTTGAATATATGTCAATCCAATGTTATCTTCTATAGCATAAATGAATTTCCCTTAGTAGTAGGGGCACAGGTTTTGCTTTATTCATTGAGAATGTTTGAGTGCTTGTTTTGCTTTGGTGCTTTTTGCTCGACGAAGGCTTTCCTTATGAACATTTACATATTGCATTTACATGCACAACTCTCGCTACATTAAGCCAGTAGTTTACTTAAGAAAATTTAACATTAGATACGACACAGAGATATAGCAATCTCCAATTCTTCGAAGATATAATTTTTTTGTTAAAAGGTTTTCTTACTTGTGCACTAAGATAAAAACTGTTACTATGCAACTTTAATACTAAACGCATTGTTTTGTGGTTGTATTACTAGTCCATGATTTGTCCTAGTATTACATATCTTGTGGTCTTATGACTTCCTTATGCTATTTGAAGTTTAAATAGAAACTCCGTACAAATGACCTCTTTGTGCTGATTAAAAATAGACCGTAGACGATTTACATGACTATGTTTACTGGTTCGTTTACGTTTAATATTATTTACATTATGTGTATTTTTAAGTTTGTTTTTAAATTAGTTTAATATTGATATTCCCTTAATTTAAAACCATATGTTAATAGTTACAGAGTAAAAGTTTTAATTTGTTCACTAGTTAGTTATAATTATTTGAAAAGGACATCAAACCATGTAGGAAAATACGGTTCGATGGATTTAAAGCTTTGCCTTCATACTAATCTCGTTAATTAAATAAATGCCGATGTTACCAGAGTATAGAGAAAGGGTACAAATAAAATTCAGTCATACTTATAAAAGTATTATTAAGTTAGTTTTTCAAAACACGAATTGAAAAGCATTTTGTCATTCTCCTTCTTTTGTTTCCTAAAGAAGGTTAGCAGTCATCACAGCAACTTGAACTCTGGACATAGAAGTTCGAAATATAAAAGCGTGCTATAGTTGTACCAAAGATTTTTGTCCTTACTAATTGAATTATCATAAAAAAAATGTTAATAAAAAAACTTCTACAAACTTACATAAATATTTATCGACAAAATTTAGTCTGTAAAAATAAACCTTTACTTACATCAGAATTCATCATTTCAACGTCAAACGAAACTTTTTAACGGCACTTCAAGTTTGCCAAAAATTTTGTAATAAATATTTTTTATAGTCGTTAGACCTAGAAATATCTAGAAGTGATTTCATTGGCGTATATCCAAATAGCTATTTAGCAAGAAACAAAACATTTGAATTTATTATCCGTTCAAAGATTTTGCTTAGAGGAATCAGCGTTTGTAGGATTAAGTATTACAAAAGCATCTAATAGGCCATTAGTGATGTTTGTTAGTGATATATTCATGTGAACAAAATTGAAATCCTCCTTAGAGAGCCTTTCCCCAGGCGATTAGGGTTGAGAAAACCTTTTAAACTCCGATAAAGGTCAAGACTTATTAATATCGAACGGATTTATATGAAACTGTATTTAATTTACATTACGAAGAGAAACTTTATGTTTATAAAACTATATCTAACTATTTCAACAGAAGGAAACTCAAGTTAAAGTACTTCTGCGTGTTATTGAACTTTGAAACTTTATTTCGCCTAATAATTTTGTTGTTTTGGAATTGATTTAAAACAATTATAATTTTAACTGTTTAAAGTAAAATGTATTTAACAAATGCTTCCTAACTTAAAATAAAACACAACCGCCGCAGGGGAGACAGCCAGAGATTAATAAAAGCGATTAGTCGCTGTGTTCCGTTTATAATTAAATTCTGTTATAAACTCTGATCATTTCTGACATCATTTTGTAGTTAAAATCTAATTTTAGTAGAAAATTTCTGCGTATATTTAAACAATAATCGTGTTTAAAAATATATCAGACAATAGACACAAGTAAACGTCAAGGGAAAGTGCTTTTAATTTTATTTAAAAAAATACGAGAAAGAAGAGATCTTTATATAAAGTAATCATCAAAAATAACATTAATTCAATACGACTCACAATTTAGAAATGACACAAGGACACTTTTTTGACACGATAATGCATTTTATTCTGTAGTCGGTTTTAATATCTTACGAAAAAATAACGTAAATAAGCTTAACAAAGAAAACATTTATCGCAAGCTTTTATATCAAAATCAAACTCGTGTCTTTATAACATACGAGTCAAGATACATTACAAAGACGCGAGTGAATCTCCTTCGGATCGGAAACGTTGTTTCCGTCCCATTCGGGGGCGTTTAACGGAAGCCTATGATACGTTTTTGTGTCGTGGATTTCTTATTCAATATATCACCCTCTCAGGCCTACGTTTTCACATTAAGAATTTGAAGCGATACTCTTTATACTTTCGAGAACATTTTAAGGAATAGAAATCATTCTTCATAAAGGTTTTTTAGATACCTTGCTGTTTGCAACTTCATTTGTTTTAAATGAAAAATAACAGTAATTTTTTAAGCAATAGTTATCTTTTACGGATGGGATTTTTTGCAAATATTTCGGCAGTATTCGTTTTTTCTAGTTTTGTCTGTGCTGGATTTACCTAAAGTTATAATTTGTATACAAAACATTGATTTGATTTTATTTTTGAAACGAAAATAAATATCTCGTTTCCACATATGATAGTATTATTTACTACTAACTACTAGTTCGTTAAGGCTTGGTGCAAAGCCTCCATATAGACGCGTCAATTATAATCAAACTTCATTTCTATGCGGGCTTTGGATAGAATACGCGTTAGACAGAAAGCCGATCGTGCATTCCATAATTACTGCTTCGACAAAAGCATATTTAAATATTATTATGACAGCTTTACAAACCTAAATATGCCTTAATATGGTCAAAAATAAATTATAAACAAAACATTACTTTGTAATATTTTACCGTTAATACTTTTCCTTAGTTAAGGTTTTTGCAAGAAAACAGGTGAATAAGTTTCCTTCTATTATTAAGAAAAACCTTTCATAGAGATAATGTCATCCATTACCTAGGTGACATTTAGAAAGCCTGATTGTTCCCTATGCATTTTTGCTATCGACGTAGACTATTATTGTCATAAAATACTTTTAACAGATTACTCTCTAAGCATAAGAAATGTGTCCATTAGAATTAGAAGTACCAAAAGTTGTTATTGTCAATTATATTAAAAAAATAGTTCTACTTAACGCTGCCATACAAACTCTAACATGACTAGATATTTGACGCTGAACTTGGTTCGCAAGTAGGATAACCCCGCAATAGTTATTTATTAATTTTATTTTGGTTATAAAACCCCTAGTTAAATTTAGACCTTTAATCTAAGGCCATAATATTTACGACAAGGAAAACAGAAATAAACGTTTGTGAAACGGTTATATTTTGTTCGGTATTATTGAATTCGAATAAAAAACATTTCTCCTAACAAAAATACCTCCACATTCTCGTTTACCTTTAGGCGCTTTCGTCGAAAATTGATTTTGAAACGCAAGTGATTGCCTTTTATACAAACACTTAGTTCGCCGTATATGGATTGAATTCGCGACCCCTTCGATCGATCGCTGACAGATTTTAGTACACCTTTTATTTATATTTAGAATGGGGAGAGAAATTTGCAAAATATTGAAGAGAAATTTGAATATAATTACATAAAATACACAGGCATTATTACAATTTTGACCTAGTCGCCCTAACTTAGGATAGGCTCTGAGACCCTTGGTGAGAATGACGATGTTGCAATTTTATCGCTTAATGTAAAATAAAAACACGATTTTATTTTCATTATTTATCTTAAGTACCTGCTTAAATAATACATAAATCTTCTACTTAAATTACTATGTTACCGTAACATTTTAAAATCTGACAATGTTTGAATCAATAATACTCCGTCCATTGGCGGAAAACTAGTTTTCTCTCAAAAGATATAAGTGGAGAAATAAGTTGAAAACAATTTTGTTGGACAGTGTTCAACGAGGTGTAAAGCTCACAGCTTGTGCAGTCAGCTAACACGACTACGCGGGCGATATCCCCTCTCGCCCCTTATTCCCTCGTCAGGCCAAACGACTCAAACTGCAGCTTGTTTCTTGGCCAGATCTTATTTGTGTGAAATAAGATATTACAATTGCATTCGAAATCGGATTGTCTATTAAAACAATTTGAAGGAAGTCTACGAAATGAGTTTCCGCTCCTATCTTTGTTATATAAAAAAAATGAATAGGTTTTATTTTTTTAATTTACTTTTCGTTTTATTGATATTAAATACTTTTTACGTTAATAAAACATTTTCTTTTCTTCGTATGACTTTTAAAAGCATTTTAATGTACAGTCTTAACATGCTGCTCAATGCATTATGAAAATTTGAGACGCTTATTAGTACAGAATTGTAACAAATGTTTCAGGTTGCGGTTTAGCCGTTCGCAAACAGTTCTTAGTGTAAGCTAAGCTTACTTTTGTGGTTAGCACTAAACAGTAGAAGCCGCCCGTGACTACAATATTTTGTGGTCACAGTGAGTCTTCAAAAGGGACTTTCATTTCCCAATACTGAATCGAATTAAACGCTTCGCTTCATATGTGCCACTTACAATAATGTCAAAATTTTAATGGAATATGGACGAAGCTTAAAGCTTGGTTAGTGTCTTAATTTAAGGCCCTGCATTTCGAAAAAGGTTTGTAGCGTAAAATATTTTCTGTAACACACGATTTGATATGTTAAAAATATTTATTATATTGAAAAAAAAAACTGCAATAAGAATAGCAAAAATGCAATTTTTACGTCAGAAAACTTTATTAAAGTTTGTTTGGAATTTCTGCGTCTGTATTTCGTAGTTGGAAGAGAAAATTATTAATATGAAGCCTATTTGAACTTAAAGTGTGTTTTTTTTGCAAGAAGACCTCGTCTCTGACAGCAAACTTTGTAGATTTAATGAAAATCAGCTGCAGCACAAATGAAATTGCTTCAGACTTTGCCATTTCATACTGTCTGTTTTTTTCCACTCTGATTTAAAAAAAAAAATAGAATCATACTAATATTATAAATGTGAAAATTTGGATTGATGGATGGATGGATGTTTGTTAGAGTTTGTAGCCTAAACGGCTGATCGGATCTGGATGAAATTTGGCATAGATGTAGAGGATAGTCTGGAAGAACACATAGACTACTTTGTTTTGTTTTTATTAATATCACGCGGTCGGAGTCGCGGGCGAAAGCTAGTATTTAATATTAGTCTCCCAAATATAAGATCATTTACAGCACTTTAAAGATTAGATTTTTTTATTATTGTTTATATATCTTTTTTTTATTAATGTATTTTATGTTTTAATGTACAGTTATTGCAGTATGATTTTTATTTTGAAATCAGTACATTTATCAGTATAGCAAGAAGTAGATTTTTGATTTATTAAAAACTGATTTATTGAAAAAGCTATCCTTACCAGTTTTATTGAAAAAGTCACACTTTCTACGATCAAATTACCTAACTTAATAGAGCTATTTGGAACAAGTATAAAATTCTTTCTTCTGTTTTATTGTTCATGGAAAACTTTTCCAAATTATCGTCTTCGAATAAAAGTTTTTATAATCACTCCAATCTGGAGAATTATATCTTAATGTAAAAGTTTCTAATGAAGTAATGTTCCTAAAAGTTGAACTCTTTGTATCCAATACACTAGCTTTCGTCCGCGACATCGCCACAGTAGAATAAAAAAAAATTAAGTAGCCTGTGTGTTCTTCCAGACAATGCTATACAGGCCAAACTTAATCGATATCAGTTTAGCTGTTTATGCGAAAACCTCTAACAAACATCCATCCATCCATCTAAAGTATTGCATTTATGAGATAACAATTTAATAACAATCCAAAATAATAAATTACAAATTCCAAAATTTTACAAAATTTGTCGCAAATGTTCTTAAACAAATAAAATCTAACACATATTATATTTATGTTATACAAGTTTTGGTACTTTATAACATCTTTTGTATCTATTATACGATTGTTTTAAAATTAATAATATTGACCGCAGGTAGCATTGTATGTGCATAACTAGGTCGTGAAAGTCACCACAGCAGTAGGTAATGGGAAAATGCTATCGTTTCCGGAGACAGGGTCTTTCCGCTGCGACATCGCGATACCGGATTATACTCTATTTTAATTCATTATTCACATATTTTATATTCTCTTTGTTTTAACTTTAATAAACTGATCGAATAAATTGCTTATGTGTTTATTAGTACCGGACGATCTAAAGGCGACAATTAATGTACTAATGAGAAATCAACACTAAAAAATTGTTTGACTGGCCATTAAGCAAGTTGGAGTGAGGCGACAGTAAACAGTAGCGTATCTTTCATATGTCCATATCTGGGATATTAGCCATTTTGGCGCTGGCTATCGCAGTTGGTAGCTTGGTGAGGAATTCAACTAATATTGAACGTACAATTATCTGTCAATTAGAACTACAGGTAGGGTTATGTCGGATCCAAGTATAAGCTACAATTTCCAAGCAAAAACTTAGGTATCCAAATACATATCTCTATGTAGAGATTTGTGTAGTTTGTAAATAAAGAGATATGTAAAACGATTAAAAAAACTTAAATTAAATTGTGTACTCTGAGCTCTGAGGTATCATTAAAGGTTACATTTACCTCATTGATGTTTATTTGTAATACGATTCCGTCTGCGGCTTCGTCGCGTTTGTGTCTGCTACGAGTACTTAATGCTTTGTCTTTTGAATAAAATATGACATTTTAGTACCTACATTTAATATTTCATGTATCTTGGATCTATTTTAAATAAAATTTTATGAGGATCGAAAAGATACAGTTTACCTTATGTTTGTATTTTATACTTTTTTTTTTGTTATACGTTTGATCGACGTTACAAGGTGTAACATTCGCTTCGAACGGCTGTTTGCTCGCTGGTTTTTTATACCGCGTAATGATTGACGTATATAAAACGTACATACGTAATGAAATCTTTTAAATTTACTCCTGCGATGGTTGACGGTCATTTTCATTAGGCCTGTTTAGACACTAAATTTAATTTTGGTGCTTTTCCAAAAAAAACCTTTTAAAATTTATATCTTCTTTACAGATTCCCAATCACAGAAGATTAAATAGAGTTAAGTAAGATGACGATGGCGGAGCAAGCACTGGACTATATAACTAACACATATACTTCCAACAGTAAGTGGAAACTAAATCTACTTTTTGTCTTGCAATCTACGAACTCTATTAACATAGCTAACTAAATCAAAAAGATGCTTTATCAGTTATGCATTTTGTCCTCCAATCGACTTTTACTAGTTTATTTTTTAATTTCTTTGCAAACTTTTGATTTTATCTCTACACTTTCTTATTTTGCATCCAGACAATCTGCTCTCTCGCACTCTGATTCATAATTATTATCATAAGTTGGTTAACAAAAGGTATGCAGTCACACCTCTGTTATTATTTTTAGAAATTATGATAATAAATAGATATGTCTTTCAGTAGAGGGCGTGCTTCGGTGAGATAGTATGGAGGGCGCGGACGGCGAAGACCTGTTTGAATGGGAGGCGCTGTACTTGCGGCTGCCGGTGCGCAACTTGACCTGGAACAGCACGGACTGGGTGCCGGCCAGCTGGAATGTGACCACTGCCAACGATACCTGGTGGGACGCCGCCGCGCCCTTCGATACGCCCGCCGCAGTTCTGCGTGCGGCAGTTAAGGCCGTAGTCCTCGGCTTATTGATTCTAGCCACTGTAATCGGTATGCTTGGATTTAATTTTATACATACATTTTAAACTGCATTAGTACAAGAATCAGTTTTTAGTATCGTACAACTCCCAGTCGTCTTGAGATATCGTAAAATGTATACCGTGGATTACAAATGTGTTGTTCAGTGTATTAAATTCACTGTGTATAAAAATGTTCAAACACTTTTATAACTAAAAATAAACCATTTAATAGTATAAGGACGCAAACGAGATGCTCGTAACCTAAGGAAACAGCATTGCGCTCTCTTTTGTGTTCTAAGCGATTCGTATTAATTTTGTGTTATTCTTAACAGGTAACGTATTCGTGATAGCAGCTATACTTTTGGAAAGACACCTGCGGAGCGCCGCCAACCAACTGATTCTGTCTCTGGCTGTCGCCGATCTACTGGTGGCATGTCTAGTGATGCCCCTCGGCGCAGTGTACGAGGTGGCGCAGCGCTGGACTCTGGGCCCCGAGCTCTGCGACATGTGGACCTCGGGAGACGTGCTCTGCTGCACCGCTTCTATTTTACATCTAGTCGCCATCGCGTTGGATAGGTAAGAAGAAGCAGTGCAGACGGTGTTAGATCCACCGTCGTGAGTTAAGGATCTAGAACATCATTATTTGGGTTATGTTAACCGATGTGACTTATTTGTGGTTTTCTAAAATATTTCTATAGACATAACTGTCGCTGTCTTTTTCAGGTACTGGGCTGTGACAAATATTGACTATATCCACGCGCGAACCGCTCGCCGTGTAGGCTTGATGATCTTATGCGTTTGGATCGTGAGCTTCCTGGTGTGCATCGCACCTCTGCTGGGTTGGAAAGATCCTGATTGGAACCGGCGCGTCGCCGAGGACATGCGCTGTGTCGTCAGCCAAGACGTAGGGTACCAAATATTTGCGACAGCTTCATCGTTCTACGTACCAGTGCTGGTTATATTGATTTTGTATTGGAGAATATATCAAACTGCCAGAAAAAGAATACGAAGGAGACGCGGCGCGACCGCACGGGGCGGTGTCGGGCCTCCGCCGGTACCTGCGGGCGGCGCCCTGGTGGCTGCAGGCGGTAGCGGCGGGATTGCCGCCGCTGTGGTGGCCGTCATAGGCCGCCCCTTACCGACCATATCGGAAACCACCACCACTGGATTTACGAATGTTTCATCGAACAATACGAGCCCAGAGAAGCAATCCTGTGCCAATGGTCTGGAGGCGGATCCGCCGACGACCGGATACGGCGCCGTGGCGGCTGCCTACTACCCGAGTTTGGTGCGACGTAAACCAAAGGAAGCCGTCGATTCGAAACGAGAAAGGAAAGCGGCGAAGACATTAGCAATAATAACCGGTGCGTTTGTAGCGTGTTGGCTTCCATTCTTTGTGCTAGCAATATTAGTTCCGACGTGTGATTGTGAAGTTAGTCCCGTATTGACGTCATTTTCCTTATGGTTAGGCTATTTTAATTCAACTTTGAACCCAGTGATCTACACGGTGTTCAGTCCGGAGTTCCGGCACGCGTTCCAGCGGCTGCTGTGCGGGCGGCGTGGACGCCGGCGTCGACCGCCGCCTTAGCCTTCGCTCCCCCTCCACCCCTACTTCCCCACCTCCTCCAGGCGACTGACCTCATGTAGCTTGATACACATTGTGTTACCTCGTTACATTTTCAGAGATATATTTACACCCCTTTATTTTTTGTACGTGAATAATGTTAATTAAATTACCTAGTTTAGATAATAAACCACAATTTTCTTTAAGAGTGTTTTTTATTTTTCCTAAGAGTATTTCTCAAGTATGTTACCGACAATAAATGTTTCAAATATAGCAGAGTTTCAGTTTCCTTAGAATACAAAGAGACAAAGTCACGTAAAAAATACTCTTATTTTCAAGAAGGGCAAAAAACATTATTTCTATGTAAACGTCATCATACTATAGATGCGAAAGTTTAGATGGATGGATGGATGTTTGTTAGAGTTTGTAGCCGAAACGGCTTAACGGATCTGGATTAAATTTGGCATGAATATAGAGGACAGTCTGTAAGAACACATAGGCTCCCTTCGTTTTTTTATTCCACGTGGACGGAATCGTGGGCAACAGCTAATAAATATTTCCATAAATTTATGTAAAACGATTGCAACCAAACATAACATTCAAATGCTGGTAAATATTTCAACACAATGATACTGGCTGCTTTACATGTCTTCTCAATAAGGTAGTGGCTAAGATAAAGGGAGAAAAAAGCTTATAGTTTGGGACTGTTGCACTTATGCCTATACATGACCAAAACATTGAATAATCTTAACAGAGTACTGATATGCAAATTTTCGAACAGTACAATCGTTTAAAACTCCTACTACCGTCGCTACTCAACTGAATCTTAAAACTAAAATACCCTTATCAGTCTATAAACAGCGTATATTAATTTTTAATATATATTTAATGTTGAGATTTAATTTTCCCTATCTACGACATAATGTACCGCGTCTCTACAACTGATCGTAAACTCTAAGGGTGTCATTTAAGAACGTAATGTTCATATCTTTTATGTGCTATTAGGTTTCCCATTCGTTTGTTATAGGTCTGGGGGCAGTAACATTTTAACCACGTTATTGAAAAGATAAGAAGTAATTACATTTTTAGATGTAATATTAAAGGACTATTAAGATGCTAGATTGATATTTCAATTATTAAATAGTTTTTTTATGGCACAAGCAGATTTTGGTTGCTGTGGATGATAATAATCAGCATGCGTATTACATACCAACAAAGCATAGCAACTAGGATAATCTGGTACTTCCAATAAACAGAATCAAATGAAACTCCCATAAATACTTTCGAATGATACAGGAGAGAACAGAATAAAGATTGAATATAAAGAAACCTATATCAGATATTTACCGTTTTGACCAGTCCATAAATGATGAATTCGTAAAGCTTTCTTAACTGTATTGGCTTCAGCGGCCTATGGTAAACAACACAAAACTTTCGTTTGTTTTTAAACTATTCCCGCTTGGAACAATAGAAGTGTCGATGTGCTCCGAATAGTTGAGAAGATTGTCAAGGTCAATACGGCTTAGCTAAAAATAAACCAACATTTCTATTTCTCCGCTTTCATTTTGTACGTTCTATTTCTACCTAAGGCTTAATTTTTGTAGTTTATATATTCCTAGTTGTTCCTAGTAGTACAACAAAGAATAGGTAACAAAACAAAACAAAACAAGAAAAAGCGTGGGCTCCGAGACCTTCAGTGTGGACGTATAGTGAGCTGGTGATAGATATATTCCTAGTTGTTAAAAAATAAATTACTATTTTAAATATATGCATGGAATTTTTATTTTTATATCTAGTAGCCAATCGAGTTTCCGATTATTTTAATTGGCCGTTGCATGTTTTATTAGTCGATGCTGTCGACCGTTGGATCTGTACAGTTCGATATCTTCGTTACTAACTTTAAAAATGAAAACCGATTTAAACCTAAATATTTATTATTAAAGATATACATAGATCTATAGATTCAGATAGCAGTAAAATAAATAACTTATATTTATATAGCAACACAACACGAAGTGGATAATAATCAAGTACATTTCCGACGTAAGTTCATTAATCTTACATTTCACACAGGAATGAAACGCACGGTACATTCCAACCGAGTCCATTACGTTCCAAACATACCCGGGGAATTAATATATCTCACAACAAAGGTAAATATTAGGAAACGTTTTATCAAAACACATGCTTTGCTAGGGTAGAAATCAATTTAACGTGACCGGTCAAATTCTAGCCTTAAATAAAGATTGGAAAATCTTAGTTTAGTTAAGTACGAGCTGTTGCCCGCGACTTCGTCTGCGTGGTATTAAAAAACATACGAACTATATAAATTACAAAAAGCTACGTATCCCTCGGAAAACGGACATTTCTCGGGGATGAAGCTTATCTCATGTGTACTCCAGACATTGTTTTATATCTATGCCAAATTACAATAAGATATGTTGAACCGTTGCAGAATGATCGAGTAAACATTAAAAAACTAAATTAATGAATCCCACGGGAACCGTAACTATTCCCGGGATAAAAAGTAGCCATGTGTTCTTCCAGACTATGCTCTAAACCTGTGCCAAGTTTCATAGAGATCCGTTCAGCCGTTTAGGCTACAAACGCTAACAAACATCCATCCATCCATCCATCCATCTAAACTTTCGCATTTATAATATTAGTAACATTATGCATTAGACTTGCATAAGCATAAATGTTAGAAGATCGAATGTTTTTTTATATGACCGCAGTAGTCAATAAAATTACGAAGATTGTTATATACGCGCTATGAAAGTTGGAAAAAGGTGAAAAGAATATTTTATACAGCGTCGTTGCTTTAAAGTGCTACAATAAATACAGCGAACATTGTGTAGCAATTTCTATTCAAGTATAGCTTAGAACTTTCAATGAAACAACTTGCCGCCGCCACATCGTGGAGAATAACGAACGTATAGAATTAACTAATTATATTAATCGCACATGTTTAACCTTCCTGGAATAATTTATTTATTATTGTCGTCACATTCACGTAGACTTCTCAGTTTAATATCAAACCCTTCTTTTATAATTCAATAATAAAGGAAGTAATAGTCGGAAATGTTATAATGACTTGTGAAATAAACAGTAAATTTACTTGAATTCGCATATAAATCACAGTTGATAGCTCCGACAAACGCTAGAAAATCCAATTTCAGTTTATAACTCAACATCGTAAAACGTTATTCGAATACAATTTGTAACTGAGTCAAGATTTGACTGTAACAATGAAACTCTGTGATTGAAATATTAGCAACTAGAGTACACTAGTCTTTTACAAAGTAAAAATAACACTTTTGCTCTCTGCGGACTTTTCTATGCATCTGTAACAAAAATATTACCCTGTTTTAATGGATGTTACATCTTTGTTCAAAAATCGTTTGAAACAGAGCACTTTGTATTCTATTATAATACCAATAAAATCTCTTTTAAGTTAACAAAATACAAACTCTGGTTCTTAACAGTATTGCGATTGCGACGTGTTTAATGGCCGGTTTCCCAGCTACGTTTTACCAGTCGTTAGTGTTTTTAATTCGATAACTTCATAAATTGCATTTCCGGACCAAGTAACATGAGTTTTAATCTGTTAAAACGTAGGTCAACCTTACACTAATGAATCACTAGTTAATGATAAAATAAATGGAAACTTTAGAAACCCTACATAAGAAATATGCTTATAATGATAATGATAAAAGAAATTGACATAAAAAATGAATTAACTTTATATAAACGGGTTATTTACGTTGATTGCATTTTAATTATGCCCTCGAACGTCGTACAGCATCGATGTCACCAAAAATGATCTCATTACGTTCGTACATAATACCGCAATTACCAAAGTTAATTGCATTTAGTTTATTTAAAATATAATATTTTAAACGTGTTATATTTTTGCACATAAGTATGTGTGTAGGAACCTTATCGTGTGGCACGTTCGTTAACAGCACAGGTTTAAGGACCGTCCATCTACACCCCGTCAAAATTCCCAACCGTCACCCCGCTCTGTCCCCAAATGAGGACAGATGAGAATAATAAAGATTCATCCGTTCCACCTTCTGCGATGAAGCGACGGTTGGGACTTATTTTATTTCACAACGGTTCCATCTGTCACCACATTGGTGATATTGGGACTAAAAGATGGACGGATGAAACTTTTAATTCTCACGTGGGGACAGAGTGGGGTGACGGTTGGGAATAATCCAGGTTTAACTATACTGTTAAAACGAGAGGTGTAGCGGACTTAAGGACAATGTCTACATTCACCAAGAATAAATATCAGTTTGGCAAACTATTCTCATATTAGCCATGTTTATTACAATTCCAATGTAACTGTGACAAAGTTTTATAAGATAGAGAAGAAAGCAAATAAATAAGATCATAAAACAACTTTATTACCTAGACGTTACAGCGTCGCTCAAAGGTTAGATTGTTTGACACTTTCTCATTAGTTAAAAGCAAACTTCTGCTTCGGTTTAAAATGTTCATTTAGATTTGCTCTTGTTTTATCAAAGACATCAACTAAGTAAATGATGTAACGTACATATAAATGTATTGCCCAGACAATCAATTGTGTTGCTGCTGAGATACAAGAATAAACATGCTATCTTTGTTTATTAAAAGGGAAGGAAAAAGGATGATATTATGTACAATTTTTCGAGCAATGGATAGTAATCATCACCAGCTCACTATAAGTCCCCACCGAGGGGCTCGGAACCTACCCTAAGAAAGGGGTGACTAGGCCATAGTCAACCACGCTGGCCCAGTGCGGGTTGGTTAGCTTCACACATATCTTTGAATTTCTTCGCCGATATGTGCAGGTTGCATCACGATGTTTTCCTTCACCGTAAGAGCGTCGGGTAAATTATGTACATATGAAAATTCGAAAAATCGAAAATCACATTGGTACATGGCGGGTTTCGAACCCAAGACCTATAGATTACAAGTCAAGTGCTTAAACCACTGAGCCACCGACGCTCTTTAAGTAATAAGCTTCTTGGATAGTAATAAGTGAGTACATTTCATTCGTTTAAATTAAGAGTTTGGATGTCGACATGAGTATTTAAAAAATATATAAGTTTAAATATTGTAAAA